ACTTGTGTTGCAAATACTGTAAAACTCTTAATAAAAACTTCTAAAAGAGGGTGGTTGGCGGGTGCTCTGGTGTGGTTTGCTCCTTCTTTCCTATCAAACATCTATCGTCCTGATCTCTCCTCTTTTTTAAAATGTTTGTTACTCTCTTGTAACACCTCTACTCTTCGGACACTTATATGACCTTATTGTGTTGCAAGTGCCGTAAAACTCTTACTTAGACTATAAAAAACTTGTGAAAACTTTTCAGCCTTGAAGTGTCTGAGCTGTACCCCAACAAGTATATTCAGCTGGATGACAAGCGACTGTACGTTCTGAACACACTGTTCAACATACCAGGTGAGATAGTCTGTACATTCTGAACACACTGTTCAACATACCCGGTGAGATAGTCTGTACATTCTGAACACACTGTTCAACATACCAGGTGAGATAGTCTGTACGTTCTGAACACACTGTTCAACATACCAGGTGAGATAGTCTGTACATTCTGAACACACTGTTCAACATACCAGGTGAGATAGTCTTGCCTCTCTAAACTGTCCCCGCGGTTTTCTGCACCCCACATAATTTAGCAAAATTTGATCATTTTTTGCATAGTTTCTGATTATTTTCCTGTATCATTCTTTGTTAAAATTAACAGAATCGCATAATTTCACATTTTTATGCTCAGTTTGCGTAATTTCATTATTTTTTTTGGCAGAAAACCGCGGGGACAGTCTAAAGTTTGTGTCTGTAGTCATTTGCTGACTTACCCACTTTTCACTTGCCAGAATGGTAGAACAAAAGAGATGATTAGGAAGTGTTAGTTAAGATAATATAAGATACATCTTTATTGTCCAGATCCTGGCTCCTTTGTTTGGCATTTCACCACATGTATACACACACACACACACACACACACACACACACACACACACACACACACACACTCACACAAACAGTCACGCAGGCTTACAGTCATATGCATAATATAAATGAGCAGCAATATAAACAATAATAAACTTAAGCTAGCTATATACTCAATGTTATTCCGATGCATGCTCTAAGGCCATATATATGAATACTTATACAAGATGGCTAAGATGGAAGAATTTTGATGGATGATGGTTGATGGTGGTGGAATGTTAAAGAATGTTGTAGAAAAAGAGACAAAAGAAAAAAAAAGAAGTGTCAAAGACTAGCTATGAAAGGAATTTCCCCTACATGTAGTAGGAAGTGTTTATTGTGTAGAATTTGCTGCTTTCTCTGTGTGCTTTCAATTAGAGAGCAGCAGCAAAAAACCTTTGTGCGAGTCAAACAAATTGTTCTATTTTGCTGGAGAAATATTCTCCTCCACGGATGAATTGGTCATCGTCAGACATTGGATTGACAGACAAGCTATTACCTCACTTGGTCGCTTTTAAGCACAAGGGGCTATCCCGAAAAATGCTGTTTTGAGAAAATCGAAAGTAAAGTTTTTGCCCCTTATTCAGTTTCTTTAAAAGACAAGGAGAGTTTTCTCTATAACCCAACAAATATACTCACCAATGAAACCATACTTCTCCTATAGGTAGGGCAATGCCCACTTTTGGTGAAGCTCAAGATTTCTGGAAACCCCCGAAATCTGGGTTAGCCCGCTTGTCTTTAAGAGCAACCAATTAAAAAGCAGTAAGTGTCTATTGAGCTTTAAAATTTCCTGACCTTGAATGCATGAACAAAAAAGCAGAATAAAGCTCTTTGAGAGTTATGACCTACCATACTCTTTCTCACCAGTTGTTTATTTTCTTTTTACTTTGCAGAGACGTACATGCTGGCTTGTGTCATTGATTTCTTTGCCAACAACAAAGACTACACAAAGTAAGTTTTTATTTCACCCATTAAACGACATTCTTTTCTGGAAAAGAAAGTGTGCTTTTACATTTCTGGGGTATAAGTATAGCTCTTTGGCGGGTGCTCTGGTGTGGTTTGCTCCTTCTTTCCTGTTGAACATCTATCACCCTTATCTCCCCTTCTTCTTTTTTATGTTTGTTACTCTCTTGTAACACCTCTAATCTTCTGGCGCTCATATCACCTTATGCAGTTGCGAGCACCGAAAAACCTCTATTAAAACTAAAAAAGATCCAGAACTTACAGATGTTGGTGGGGCCCCTCCTACTGGTGTTCTAGTAGATCTCGATTTGCCGATGTTGCTTCTCTCGGCTCCAGCTAGTGGGTGGTAATTAGTTTACTTGCGCCTTGGTGATTGTTAGTTTACTCGCTCCTTGCCTGAAGTCTCGTGAGGTGTCCGTCACGTGAGGTGTCCGTTAGGCCTACGTCACAATGACTATTCTATCTAAAGGTGCGTTCACTCTACATGTCCTTTTCTAAAGGTGGGTTCACTCTACATGTCCTTTTCTAAAGGTGCGTTCACTCTACATGTCCTATTCTAAAGGTGCGTTCACTCTACATGTCCTATTCTAAAGGTGCGTTCACTCTACATGTCCAAAGGTACGCTTTCACCACAGGAGGTAGCCCATACTTAGAAAAATACACGCTGGGACGACGTGTTGGAACCATTTTTATGATACAAATAGATTGTCGTAAAAATGTAACATTTCTTTTGAAGTGTTTACAGAGAGTGGGTGTTTGGCGGGGGCTCTGGTGTGGTTTGCTCCTTCTTTCCTACCCAACCTCTATCGTCCTGATCTCTCCTCCTTTTTATTGTGTTTGTTACTCTCTTGTAAGACCGCTAATCTTCCGCACTTATAATATGACCTTATTGTGTTGCAAGTGCCGTAAAACTCTTACTAAAACTAAAAGTTTACGGAGACTTTTCTCTTTTCTCTTTACTTCAGAACAAAAACCGGTGTTACGCGCGGCAGTCTTCATATGTCGTACAAGTCCATTTTTCAAGATGTTCGTGGTGCAATGGACTGGCTTCATCTGCATGTAAGTGAATTTTCCTGCACTGTAAAGTGTACTGTTCTGTTCTCAGAGATATTAGCGCGCACAACCTGCAACTTGCGCGCGCAACTATTGCCATTTTCGCGAATTCCCAAACTTTAGCCAATTTTCCACAAAAGTAGACATTCACATTTAACTTTTGATTTTGATCTAACAAAACTCACTTTGGTTTCTTTGATTGCAATGAGCATACCAACAATGTATTCCAATAATTCCATGACATTTTTTTTTGCTATACACATCTTGCAACTTTTCTTGCTACTTTTGCTAATTTTTCTTGCAACTTTTTTTGCAAATTTTGCTATTTTCAAATGGAACTTTCTCTGAGGACAGACTGTTATCTACGTCTTCATCTGGGGGTTGCGGGTGTTTTTGTTTTCTTTATAATTTTTTTTTTCTTGTCGATCAGTTTAAACTGCAGTAAAAGAAATACAAAACACCATTAAATACAAAACTGCCGTTCTCTGTTTTAAATGTATAAATGATAGTGCACCTTTTTATCTTAAAACATTCCTGGAATTTTATAGTCCACCTAGAGCCCTTAGATCAGCCTCTGACAATCTAATTCTTAAAACTCGAAAACAAAATTACAAAACATACGGCGAGCGTTCCTTTTTGTTCTTTGGTCCCCAGGTATGGAACGAAATCCCATATAAAATAAGATCTGCCCCAACAATTTCCATTTTCAAAAATCAGCTGAAGCATTTTTTATTCACAAAAGCATACCTGTCATAATGAAGTACTGTGATATATATGCATGTGTATGCCAGACTGTGAGACTGAAGAAATAGCGAGTGAGAAGGAGAGAGAGAAAGGAGAGAGATAGCGAGAGAGGGAGAGAGAAAGAGAGAGAGATAGAAGGAGAGGGAGAAAGAGAGAGAGAGAGAGAGAGAGAACGGAAATGTTTTTCTATGTGTATAGAATTAATGTTTTAATGAATGTTTCTAGTTACTCACGTTTCAACTTTATTTTGACTGTTCGTGAATTTTTATTGCATTGTATATTTTTAGTGAACACATTTTCAACCTCACTGCGAGACTGTTTTTCTGGTATAAAATTTTACACATATGCATTTATATTATATGTATAATACTTTGTTTTACGTACACATTTGTTTCGATTAATTTTTAAGATGTGATGTCTTTTTCATTGTAATGCGCATTGAGCATCTTTTAGGAAATGGAAATGCGCAGTATAAATGATATTTATTATTATTATTATTAAAGGTTGAGATGTTTTGGGGGGTTTTTTAAAGTGGAAATTAGTACCTGTTTCCTTCAGATGGTGTTTGCTCTATTAGGGGAATAGTCATATTTCATACAGCATGTTAAAACTCAGACACACACACACATACACAAACACACACACACACACTCTCACACACTCACACACACACACACTCTCACACACACACACACACACATACTCTCACACACACTTTCACACACACACACACACACCCACACTCACACACACAGGCGGGTGGTTGGCGGGTGCTCTGGTGTGGTTTGCTCCTTCTTTCCTATAAAAAATCTTTCGTCCTTATCTCTCCTCGTTCTTTTTTATGTTTGTTACTCTCTTGTAACACCTCTAATCTGGCGCTCATATGACCTTATGCAGTTGCAAGTGCCGTAAAACTCTTACTAAAACAAATAATACATGCACACACACACACACACACACACACACACACACACACACACACACACACACACACACACACACACACACACATACACACACACCCACACATACACACACACACACCCACCCACTCACACACACAC